CGAAAGGTTAAAATAAAAATGATTTGCCTTTCGGACTTCGGCGTACAGAGCGTCACAAAATAAAGAACAGTTCGATTCAGAAAAATATGCCTTAAATCAAATAATAAAATATTTCCTGTAAATACATTTTTTAGAACAAAGGTGAAATTTGTTTCTTATTATTAAAACCATTTTTATAATTTTGACTAATTCCGTTTAAAAGTCTTGTAATGGGGCATTGATAACATCTATTTTAAATTTCACTATAAAATAATTTTATCAGAGTGTAGAGAATGAAAGTATATTTTGAATAATATTTTTTGAAATTGAATTTTTCATATTGATTTTAGGAACGCGCAAGGGCGGCTGCTTTAGGATATCCTGATCCTACGAATCCGACATTTGAAGCAACATCAGAGATGTATCATAAGACACTTACCGAATGCTTGCGTCGAATCAAGGTATTTTCTTTGGAACATTAATTTATGTAGCAGTTTTGATTCATTTGAAAATGAATTTATATAACATGAACAATGATTTGCTTGTGTATTATCTGTATTAATTATTAGTTTGTTTTTTTTAGCATTTGTGTCTCTGTTAATGAATTACCTAGAACCTAGTAACATTCTTACTATGTCCTAAAAATTCTATATAATTAAAAATAACTTATATAAAAGGTTATTGCTAATTTCGACTACTAACAAGTATTACGACAGAGAATTTTTTTATATTCATTTAATTTTGTACTCATACGTTCATAGGTTTTAAAAGACGCTGGCCAAGAAAAGAAAATAGGTATTATGGTTGCATCTCACAATGAAGATACTGTTCGATTCGCTATAGAGCAAATGAAGAACATTGGAATTTCACCTGAAGATAAAGTGATATGTTTCGGACAATTGCTGGCTATGTGTGATTACATTACTTTCCCGTTAGGTTATGTGTTTCTATTACAAATCGTTGAATATTTGGTAAATCGTACTGAGTAAATGTTACCCCACTTCTATTAATTATGATCAATAATGAATAGAAGTGGGTACATTTTACTCACAATCAGATTCAATAATGATAAATCTCATTGACACATAACTATAATGTTATTTTTTTCATAATATTAGTTAAAAAAAAACTTAAATCTTGATTTTGTAAGTTTCTATTTTTTTTTGCTCTAACATATTACTATGAAATTTATACCAACTTCTATTATAATAACTTATAATACAAAATTTTACATTATTCGCTTTAATTGAATTCAGATTATTTCATTTCGTTCAAGTGCGAATCAGTAAACTTTTACATTTTCACATCACTAATACACAAGATTTCTCAAATATTAATTATTTAGATTAAGTATCATGATCCTTTTATATAAACATTGTCTTGGAGCTGTGCTTAATATCTGCATGTTAATACAAGTACCCAAGAAAATATAATGAATTTCATTTTAGGTCAATCAGGGTATTCAGCATATAAATACATACCCTACGGTCCAGTCAACGAGGTACTGCCATACTTATCCCGACGCGCACAAGAAATAAGGGTGTTTTACAGAAAATTCAAAAAGAAAAAAGATTATTGCGCAGAGAACTGTTTTTAGACGTTTGTTCTCAGGTCAATTGTTTTATAAGCCGAAAGGTAACTACGTACCGTTCTAAAAATTACACAGCTAGGATTATTTTAAGTGGAGATTTAATTAAATTCAGATAAACTGAATAATGAAACAAATACATTATATACGCAACTTATTTATATTCTGTATTTGTTTGCGGTTTTTAAAGTATTATTTTGTAGTATTTTATTTTTATTTATATTATAGAATACGATTTTAATGAAATAGTGATTCATAGATCTGAATGTATTATATTATATAAAAAAATATATGTCGATGCGAGCTAAACAATTTTGACTAATGTATTGGTCATTTAATCAATTTTATTAAGACATTATTATGTGATCGAACACTTTTTACCATAGTTTCCTAATTATAAATTGTATTTAGATTATTTTTTCGAATGATTTATTACTAAGCTTTTTCTTTCCAAATATGTGAAAATTAACATGACTTGAAGTCTGAATCAGTGATTTTTGTATTATTTTGGAATGTATTATTTGTAAAAATTAATTTTATATACTCTTTTATAATGTATTAAATTTCTTGTAAAAGTATCTGATGTTTAATAATTTTTCTTCACTTAAAAGTATCTGGTGATAATTTGTAAATAAAATTGAAAATAATCACATAGTAGCATCATTTTTTAACGATTTCAGCATTTTATCAATTATGTGAAAGTGAAAACAAAATCATGAGATATCATTAAAACTAATGTTAAATATTCTAGAATTATTGACAATAATATGATAGAAATAAAAAATTAAATGTTGAATTATATAAAATTGTTGGATGAAATGGTAGTTGAAGATACTTGTTTGAATTAATAATGCGGATACTTTAACATGAGAAATATTTTGAAACACCTTCACAATTTGTCCCTTTAATTCCAAAGAATTCATATAAAAGTGATGTTTGTTGTAATTGTTTTTTTTGGTATGTAATTAATATTCTCAGTAATTATACTACATGATAGTATTAAAATGAATGTAATAAGATTTTAAATAGTAACGAAATTATTGTATATTAAAATCAAACATGGCTGTTATAATGCTGCTAGAGACTATTATAATTTTAACTGGTCAATGATCATCATCATATTAGCTGTATACAGTCTTATGAGTTCTAATCAATGAAACAATTTTGTTGAATACTATTAGTTGTTAAACTTTCAGTGCTAGACAGCAACTTCTTTTCTGTTTATGAAAAACTTGTTATATTTACTACGAGTACAATTGTGTAGTGCAGTGGCTAACTGTATTAGATGATATAGTCAATTTAAAATTCAGGAACTAACTTAAATTAGTATTACGTTGCTGTCTTCACATTATGTTCTATGCTCATCAGTTTTAAGTTAAAGTTGGCCACCACTCATATATAGCAAATAGATAATGACTATTGCGAAAGAAGTCTAGACTATAAAAATACTAATTTATTTATTTATGTAGTATATTTTTAGTATTGTGAGTGAAAGACGTTTAAAATACATCTAATTCAAAATAGTCAAAATGATTCTAACCACATTTTGTATGTTTTAAGTATGCAAGCATGTTTGCTTGAGATTTGTTTAAGAACCTAATTGTTTAGTACTTCACCAGAATTACAAGTATATACTTATTTGCTATATACTTCTGTAATCTGAGTTTTTAAATTATATTATAGATTTTAGTATACACATGCTTTGTTCCATGTGCAAAGTGTAATTAAAGCCTTTCATAAAGCATTCAACTACCTTTGCATTGGAATTTGTATATCTTTGAGTAGACTGGAAGTACATTCAAGTTACATTTCAATTGTAATTTTAATGCCGAAATAAAAGATTAAATAAACATTAATATATCTTTATTTAATTTTATAGATACAATGATATGTTTATAATATACATAATACTCTTTAATATTTTATGTACTATAGTTTATTTCAAATTGCGCTCACGGTTGACATGCTATTTGGCCACGATAAATATCTTTTCATAACTGTTCCTGCATATTTATTAACAATGTATATTATATTATGACTTTATTATTTAACATGGACAATTTGTGTTAATTTTTCCAATGGAGAAGTTTATCATTGAAAAAATTTTTTTCTTAATATGATGTCCCATAATAAAAATAAGAATATATCAAAATCTATCTTATTATTCTATATTAAATTTTAGTGATCTATCTTTCCGTAATGTACCTACATATTTGACAATAAAAATGAAACTAATTCCTTTTATTTAATTATTTAACCCTGAATATTTTATTTTGAATAATAAATTTTGATTAAACTTCTCCATTGTGATTGGAATTTGTGGCAGCATTTTTTAATTAGGCATAAACCTTTCCTATGATTTCAACAGAAGAATCATCATCATTTCATCAACATAAGGGTGGTAATAATCAAGTACATCTTATTGTCAATATTTGTAAATTATTTAATTGTACTCCAGATGAATGTATCAACAGATTTTTATTAACATACATACATGAATGTGAGACATTGACTATTGTGTTCACTATGGTTCAATCACAAATTCATAGATTGTCTTTCTCCACGGTCTTTTTCGCATTTCAGTTCTAGATATGCATATGGAGGTACCGATATTATAGGCCTATTGCAAGGCCTAATAGTTTATATATTCTCGCAAAGAATTCCATGCAGCGTAAATCCGACAGCTAGACCGAATTTTCGAAATGCTATAGAGTGTGCCCAGCATGACGTGGTCATCAAAGTCTGACTTAGAAGAGCTGAAAATTATATTTTAACAGTGAGTTTATTTCATTTTTTTCGAATTATTATTAGAATTTTGAAATAACAATTGAATATGAGGCGATTTGTCAGTTCACTCACAATAATTTCCGCTGTTTTACAAAAACAACAATGCTGTTTGAATTAAAATTATTATCTGTAACAACTTAGTTTAGAGAATGATGCTTAGTACATCTTAGCCATAATGAGCCGGAGAAGGTAAATATATATTATATTTGTTTAAATATATGATATAAAAGCTAATATAATATTTGTTTTTTTTTTGGCGAATTAGGTAAAGATCAATCTCAAGATGTATCCAAGCATTTTCAAAGATTTCTGCGAAGAAAATTTTTGGTATCCGGATCATTTTTGCTTCAAATGCGTATTTATTTTCCTAATCGAGCTATTTTACACGAATATGTCAATAGTGTTTTGCAACATTTTATTTATAATGGAAAACATAGCTATATATTTGATGCCATGGGATGAATTAGTATGAATAAAAAGATATAACATTTTAACTATCTTATATGATATTTTTAGTGAGTGTGTTAGTGTTTTTTCGACAAACAGTAAATGTTATTTTATTATACAATGACAGTTTAGTGTAAAAAATGCCATGCCAATCAATCATTAATTGTTCATACTAATCTGTGAATGCGGCTCTGTATTGTGCTATATGCAATGGTAACTAGTAATAGGCGTTTTTGTACCATACAAAAATTATGTACAGATTCAAGTGAAGATTGAATGAAATGAAATTGTGTTACTGAAGACACTATATTTTTTATTTGTATTATGATATGTATGATATTGTAGTTTAGGTTGATTTGATAGTCCCAAGCATGGGGTAATTGTAACAGCGCACTTTTTCGAGAAAATAATTAATTGTGAAATAATGAACAACAGTTATGAAATTATTTTTACTTGATTCAGTAGTTACAGCAACTATCCAACTTTATTTTCGTATAAATATATCTTGAAATCAGTGGATCTCAAGATATATTCATTTAAATGAAAACTGTTACAACCAGCCTCTAGCTCTCTTATCTATATTGTATTCCTTTTTAGGAAATCTTAAATATTGCATGATATATTAGAATTTTAACTGTTTTTAGATCCGAGACTCAACTCTCAATCTTAGTGTCACAACTGGTAATATAATATTACAGAATCACGTGCAAAAATTCAATAACAAAATATTAATTGCATAAGATAAAAAAAAAACAAAAAAATATATAAATAATAATAAATACTAATAACATACAATAAAATATAACATTTATATCAATGAATTAATTATTTTGATAATATACAGTTAGTTCATCTAATTAATAGTAAAAATTAACATAACTAAAATATAATCAGCGACAAATTTTAAACGGTTAAACGTTCGGTATAAACTATTTAGTGTTTGAAATCGATGCGCAAAGAAAAATTCTTTTCATTTTCTAAGATTTTTCACTGTTTATGGATAAATTTTGAGAATAACTGTGTTGGCCATTCGGTCAAGTGGTGAAGTGAAGATAAGGGAATAGATCTGCAGAAAGATGCTGCAGTCGGGACTGTAAACATCAAATTAATATATTCTGAATAATTTTGTCTGATTTAGAACGACAAACCGTCCATACGATCTGCTGTAAATATTGAATATTTATGAAAGTGAACGTGATTTTCATGAAAAATTATTGCACTATTTTATTTATAAAATTATGTGATGTGATGTGATGTTAATTATGTGATAACCTGTTTATGTAGTGTGTGTCAAGTAGTTTTTTATTATCGAGGAAAATATTCAATTAAGTGGACTTTTTAGTGCGTGTGTTACCAAAATTTAGTGTTTCCCAAACTGCATTGCATACGCCCCCAGCATGCCGCTATGACATAAAACAATGCAGAATCTTCAGCAGATGGTTTCCAGGTTGAAAGTGCCAGTAGCAGGCAAGCATGGAAGAGGAATCCGGCCACTAAAAGTAAGTCAAAAATGTTTTTTTAGATATACTTGGCCAATGGAGAAATGCTTCAAATGATCCGATAATTGCATTCATTAATTGCAGTTATTTGTGTGTATGAAAAGCGCAATAGTTTTATCTTAACCCTTTCGCTATGAGCGTCGTCTATAGACAATAACCTGTATGCACTAATGTCGTTTGTGATCACTCTGAGCTAAATAATGTGAAATTGAATTTGTTATTGTGGTTTTTAGATTCTAAGTAGTGTAGTTTTTATTTTTTAAATACATTTCTATT